AGAACACAAACTATATCTTCAACAAACTAGGAAACATCTCTAACCATACTGTACAAAAATGTATGTCAAATACAGTAAAAGAATTATGCTAGAAGACCTCAAGGCAGCGATATGGCTCACAGCTTTAAATCTCAAAATCAAGGAGAAACCCAATAATCCCTTGTTTGGAATACCTGAGGTTTTTACAGATTTAATTTGTTATCCCTGAAACATGAGGGAGAACTGAACAAGAAGTCACCTTTTCCTAAAAAGACAGGTGCAGGGGCCGGTTCCATGGCACAGTATGTTAATCCACTGCCTGCAGCACCAGCATCCCATATGGGCACCAGTTCTAGTCCTGGTTGCCCCTCTTCCAATCCAGTTCTCTGCTGTGGCCTGGGAAAGCAGTAGAAGATGGCTCAAGTCCTTGGGCCCCTGCACCAACATGGGAGACAGGCAAGAAGCACCTGGCTCCTAGCTTCGGATCGGTGCAGCTCTGGCCATTGTGGCCAATTGGGGAATGAACCAGCAGATAGAAGACCTTTCTCTCTCTCTCTCCCTCTCCCTGTCTGTAATTCCACCTCTTAAATAAATAAAATCTTAAAAAAAAAAAAAAAAAAAAACACAGGTGCAGACTAACAATCACAAATACTAGTAAAATGAGTATTTCAAGGACTTAAAAAGAAACTCCTTTGAGAATCTAAGCAAAAACACTGTTACCTAAAAATTCGGGGGAGAGGGTAATCAATGCTAAAAATCAAAGCAGTATCTACAGAGTACAAGAAATTTATGCCCAGTCTACTTGTAGCTCAACACAAGGACAACAGTTAAATATTAAATATGCAAAAAACTCAGGGAATTGTTCCTATGAGCTGCTCAAAGAAAATACAAGATGATAAAGTCTAGCCATTTAAGAAATAAAACTATGGTAAAAGGACAAGCTTTGAATATTGAATCCATTTAATTATTGGTCATAACTATACGAAGAATGGAGGAACAACTATATACTAGTATGAAATAAGTGAGTCAGTATACAGCAGTCCCCCTTTATCCAAGGTTTTGCTTTCTGTGATAGTTTTACTTACCTGCAATAAACCACAGCCTAAAAATATTATGTAGAAAATTATATAAACAATTCATAAATTTTAAATTGTGTAGTGTTCTGAGCAGCACAATGAAATCTCATGCAATTCCACTCCATTCCACCTGGCAGGTGAATCATACATTTTCCAGAGAATCCTCACTGCATATGCCACCCACTAAGTAGTTATCTAGGTCATCAGATTGACAGCTGTGACATTGGTATACAGTTATAATTGTCCTATTCTGGCTAGCATTAACTTCTTAATTTATAAGTTAAATTTTATCAGAGGTATATACATATAGGGAAAAAACATTGTTTATAGGCTCTGAAGTTTCATCCAAGGTTGAGGCACCCACTGGGGGTCCTGGAACACGTCCTCTACACCTAAGAGGCCTACCACACAGCACCCTGCTGGAGCTCAAATTCTAGCTCCCCAATTGACTAGCAGGCTACAGAAAGCTTCAGTGCTTTGGGTCTTTCTCTGTGGAAAGGCAATGATATTACCTATTTCTCAGGGTTGTACTGTGATTAATAATCAATAGCAAAATACTTGTTAAAACAGATTCTAGCAAAGTGCTTTCTCTAAAGCACTATATGTTAGCTAGGGGCCGGCGCTGTGGCGCAGTGGGTTAATGCCCTGGCCTGAAGCGAAGGCATCCCATATGGGCACAGGTTAGAGACCTGGCTGCTCCACTTCCTGTCCAACTCTCTGCTACGGCCTGGGAAAGCAGTACAAGATGGCCCAAGTCCTTGGGCCCCTACACCCACGTGGGAGACCCAGAAGAAGCTCCTGGCTCCTGGCTTTGGATCGGTGCAGCTCCGGCCATTGCAGGCATTTGGAAAGTGAACCATCAGATAGAAGACCTCTCTCTCTCTCTCTCTGCCTCTCCTCTCTCTGTGTAACTCTTTCAAATAAATAAATAAATCTTTAACAAAAAAAAGTTAGCTATAATAGTCATGTGAGAAAAACTAGGCTGAAGAACACAGCAGGCTATTTATGAAAAAATGCATACATATACGGATTAAATATATATATCTATAAAATATCTATAGAAAGACACATAAAAATCAGGAAGAGAAACTGGGCAAGAGATTTTAGAGTGAAATAGAGACTGACTTTACATTTCTGTGTCTTTTAAATTGTGAATCATAGGGGTCAGCATTTTTAGCGTAGTGGGTAAAGTTGCCACCTACAAGGGCAGCAACCTACAAGGGCAGCAACCTACATGGGTGTCAGTTCATGTCCTGGTTGCTCCACTTCCAATCCTGCTAATGCCCAAGAAAAAGCAGCAGAGGATGGCCCAACTATATGGGCCCCAACCACTAGTGTGGGAAACCTGGATGAAGCTCCCAGCTCCTGGCTTCAGCCCGGCCATATAGCTACCTGGGGAGTGAACCAGCAGATGAAGATCGCTTTCTTTTCTCTCTCTCTCTCTAAATGGCTTTCAAGTAGATAAATAAATCTTTGAAAAAACAATAAAATAAATAAGTTGTGTATCACAACCAAATATTACCTAGACAAAAACTACTACTAGGCCGGCGCCGCGGCTCACTATGCTAATCCTCCGCCTGCAGCGCCAGCACACCGGGTTCTAGTCCCGGTCGGGGCGCCAGATTCTGTCCCGGTTGCCCTTCTTCCAGGCCAGCTCTCTGCCGTGGCCTGGGAGTGCAGTGGAGGATGGCCCAAGTGCTTGGGCCCTGCACCCTATGGGAGACCAGGATAAGCACCTGGCTCCTGCCATCGGATCAGCACGTTGCGCCGGCCGCAGCACACCGGCCGCGGTGGCCATTGGAGGGTGAACCAACGGCAAAGAGGACCTTTGTCTCTCTCTCTCACTGTCCACTCTGCCTGTCAAAAAAAAAAAAAAAAAAAGTGACACCTAAATAGAAAAATAGAATTTACAGAGGTGAAAAATATTTGACTCTGCCTGTCAAAAAAAAAAAAAGGGAAAAGAAAAGAAAAAAAAAACTACTACTTAAAAATTACCTTCAAGACTTTCAAGGATTGCTAAACACAATGCCACTTTCCTAATTAATTCTCTACTTCCTCAATGTACATTTATTCAATTCAAGTCATACAAATAAGACACTCTCAGACACAAATATATTTCCCCAAACTATCCATAAGAAAAAATGTTTAACGTATCACCATATAAAATACAAAAAATATATCTTAGGACACAGCACTGCAAAGATACATATAAAGGAATATTTCTTGCAATGTGCATACAAATAACAAACCATTGGAAATATGTACATCAACAGACTAAATTTTGAAACCACACTGTAGAATATCATATAAACATTAAAAATGATAGTATATACATATACTATGAAATTAGTTATAACAGCAATATTTGCATATATATGGCAAATAATAAACTTTATATTCTTCCCATACAGGAATACAGATACACTTTATCATTTTTATTGTTGACTAAGATTTCTGGGAGGGTTCCTCAAAATTTAACAATTCCTATATGAGTTCAATTGACATTTAGAATTTTTCAATTTGCCATTTTCATTTATATTTTTTTAAATTCCTTTTACTAAGATAAATAATGCTTCATTGAGCAAAAATCTTCACCCAAAGGAACTAATACTTCCATGAGCAGATTACTGAAAGCAGAATTGTTGACAAAAATTTTTTTTTTTTTTTTTTGACAGGCAGAGTGGACAGTGAGAGAGAGAGACAGAGAGAAAGGTCTTCCTTTTGCCCTTGGTTCACCCTCCAATGGCCGCCGCGGCGCGCTGATCCGAAGGCAGGAACCAGGTGCTTATCCTGGTCTCCCATGCGGGTGCAGGGCCCAAGGATTTGGGCCATCCTACACTGCACTCCCAGGCCATAGCAGAGAGCTGGCCTGGAAGAGGGGCAACCGGGACAGAATCTGGCACCCCGACCGGGATTAGAACCCGGGGTGCCGGTGCCGCAAGGCGGAGGATTAGCCTATTGAGCCACGGCGCCGGCTGCATTTTAACTTTTTATCAGTAATTCCAAACTGCTTCGTTCCAAATAGCCTCTATCAACTACACTCTCCAAATCTTGTGAATTATTAATCATTTTCATCATCTGATACATGGAAAATTATAATCTAGATGACTATTAGTAAAAGTGAGAAAAGCTTTCTGTTCCTCAATAACATTCAGAAAAATTACAGCCCATACCTACATATATTTAATGCACATTTTAAGTTTCCAAAATTTAATAACTGAGAACTTCACATAAAAATCCAGACATCTGCTTTTCATTTAAAAAAAATCAAAATATTGGTTATCAATGGGTCCATATTTCTTAAAGACAATAATCAACTGGCACTGAATAGAAGCTGTCCCCTCAAAGTCATCTACAACTCTATCATCTTACATACTACTCCTATTAGGTTTGCTCATTTGTAATACCTGCCTGGTTTCCTTCAGAAACTGAAGTCTGGGACCCCATTTCTACTGGGAAATTTGGTTATATACTGGTTATTAGGATTCTTTGTATGACAGACATTAACATCTGGTCTTATATATATATATGTATCTGTGTGTGTGTGTGATATGTGTCAAACATTTGCTCGTTGTTGCAAGTTTTCATTTTAATCTCATCATTCACAAATACATATAAAAGTCTGAGAAATATACCCACCAAATATTAGCAGTCTTATCCTTTAATTAAGGGCGATTTTCGCTTTTCTTTACATCTACAGGTATACCTTTTTATATAAATGAGTAAGAACTCCTATCATTTAAAAACAAAAAAGTTCTAACAATGATAATTTAGTTATGTTGATGTTTAAGCCAACAAAGGAAAGAGAGAATTAAAACTATTTATGAATAAATTCTGAATACATTATACAAGAGGTCTATATAACCAAATCTCATTCCAATTAGTCTATAATGGCCCAGAAAGAACTTACTAAATCCAGTACTTTAGGTTAGAATTACAACATACATCATTTTAAAAAGTGATTTTCCAGGGGCCAGCGCCGTGGCTCACTTGGCTAATCCTCCACCTGCGGCGCCAGCATCACATATGGGCGCCAGGTTCTAGTCCCGGCTGTTCCTCTTCCAGTCCAGCTCTCTGCTGTGGCCCAGGAAGGCAGTGGAGGATGGTCCAGGTGCTTGGGCGCCTGCACCCACTTGGGAGGCTGGGAGGAAGCACCTGGCTCCTGGCTTCGGATCGGCGTAGCTCCGGCCGTAGCGACCATTTCGGAGGGGAATCAAAGAAAGGAAGACCCTTCTGTCTGTCTGTCTCTAACTCTGTCAAAATAAATTAAAAATAATTTTTTTTTAAAAAGTGATATCACAGGCCGGTGCTGTAGTGTGGCATGTAAAGCAGCCAATCAACATTTAATATATAGCATGTGCCATGTAATGTGCTAAGTGCACAGTAATAATAAATGCACAATTCTTGCTGTAACTTTACAGAAAAGTAGGCAAAACCCTAGTGTGTATGTTCAAGTACAACAAGAAGGCACATAAACCAGACTTAGAAGTTGGGAGTATCTGGCAAGCCTTGTTAATAGAGACAACATACAATTAGAAATACAGCTAAAAAGGTGACAGGGGATCAGGAATCCTGAAGTCATTCTGACTCCTTCTTGCCTTCAATTCTCAGCTGTAATAATCACTGAATCCTATCAACTCTTCTCCAAAAACTTCTGACTCTAACACCCTTCAATTTTCATTGACACTATCCTGTTACCAAATATTCTTTCCTCTAACAGCTTTGTAACTGTTCTCATCATATCCACCCCCCACCAACCTCTTTTTGGGTCAATTACCGCACTGTAATTAGAGTGATCGTTCAAATATTCAAAGCTAATCAGGTTACTATCCAATCTAGAACACCTGAGAGGAGACCTCAGGATAAAACCAAAATTCTTAGCAGTAATTACCAAGTCTTTGAAGATCTGGCTCCTGCTTACTTCTGCCCCAACTCTAGTATTTCCCACCTTGCATTCCTGTCACGTGAAATTTCTTTAACATCCAATTAACAGAGCTGGCTGTCTCACGTCCAGAACTTTGAACAAGCTATTTTCTTCTGCCAGAAACACAGATTTATATTTCTTCACTGAGATAACTCCAACTTATTCTTCAGATCTCTTTATATACGTCTGGGAAGCCTTTCCTTATTATTCAAAAGCCTTTCTGCCTATTTCTCTCTTAAGTCCTCCCACTTAAAAAGTCCCCTATCAGAACAGTTATCATACTATATTTTACTTAGATGTCTGATTCCCTCACTTAACGGTAATGGGAAAACAGGAACTCTTCTTTTTCACTTGTATTCAAGTACTTTTAACAGTATTTAGCACACATAGCAGTTATATTTATTGGAAGAATAAATATTTGTTAATTTCGCTTTATCTACCATATTAGACAACATGCTCCTTATTTTACTCCACAAAGAGTCTTCAAAAGGTACATACTATTTAAAAAAAAAAGATTTCAAAAAAGTAACAAAATAAACTTATAGTTCCATTTTCTATGTACTTTTTGAAACCTCCTAGCATAACGTGCTTCACAATGTAAAAGATACTATGAACTGATGTAGCACAAAGTGCTTAATAAACATTTGTTGAATGAACATCAATGAACAAAGATAATGGGGCTGGCGCTGTGGCACAGGTTAATCCTCCAGCTGTAGCACCAGCATCTCATATGGGCGACAGTTCTAGTCCTGGGTGCTCTTCTTCCAATCCAGCTCTCTGCTATGGCCTAGGAAAGCAGTACAAGATGACCAAAGTGCTTGGGCCCCTGCACCCATGTGGGAGACCCAGAAGAAGCTCCTGGCTCCTGGCTTCAGAGAAGCCAAGCTCTGGCCATTGCGGACATTTGGGGAATGAACCAGCAGATAAAAGACCCTTCTCTCTGTCTTTCCCTCTCACTGTCTGTAACTCCACCTCTCAAATAAATTAATAAAATCTTTTAAATTTAATTTTTTAAAAAATTTAATTTTTTTAAAAAATATGGAATTTCCCTATATTCTACTTATTAATTCTAGATCATTCAGATGTTCATGTGATATGAATACCTAAAAGTAGCAAGATTTCAATTATATTCTCCCTTGTTTACAAAGACTCCACATTTTTAAAAATATCTTACAGAACAAGAACAAATAGCTCTCTCCCCTCCAAATCACATAACGCTATATATTTTTATAGTTTGAGCCTAAAAAAGAATCTCCAAAACCGTAACACTAAAAAATTGGCCCACAGACCAAGAAAGCACTCAAAATTAATTTGCTAAAGTGAATATGATTGTTTAAGAGAAATGACCAAACACATCCTTAAGCATCCCAGTAAACTTGAGGTAAGGAGAGTTTTCATAGAGGCTAACCCGCCAATGTCAGTAATTGAAGACTATTTCAGGATACCTGTATTATTTATGAGAAAACCAAAAGATTTTATATGTAAATTTAGATTCCAGGCAAACAAGAGTTTACAGCAAAGCACAGAAAACTCTTGTTTACCTAACCCACAATATAAATCTTAATTCGGATTTTAGCTCTTTTGTACAACACTTTAACCCACTAAATGAATAAATTGCAAAATTTTCCAGCAAAACCTTTAAATAAAAGGTAGAGGTAGGGTACAGGAGATTTAAATGTCTTAACTAAGATACAATAACAAATATCAAGTATCTTTTTTTTTTAACTTTTTTATTTGAAAGGCAGAGTTACAAAGTCTGGAAGGTGGAGGGTGGGGAGTAGAGAAGGTAGCTAGGTCTTCTACCCACTCCCCAAATGGCTACAACAGCCAGGGCTGGGTCAGGTGGAAGCCAGGAGCCTGGAACTTCATTCAGGTCTCCCATAAAAGTGGCAGGTGACCAAACACTTGGACTATCTTCCACTGCTTCCCCAAGTACATTAGCATGGGGCTAGATAGGAAGCAGATCAGCTGGGACTCATGAATCCAGGGCTCATATGGGCTGCCAGCACTGCAGGTGGCAGCTTAAACTGCTGCACCACAATACCAATCCCACATCAGATATCTTGGCCATCTGAAAAGTTTTCATGCCATACAAAAACACTACCCCTCAAAAAAAAAAATTTCAGCTGCCCTTCTAGTCAAAGAATTCTAAACATCTCATTACAACCTAAGTATCACCAAGATAAACAAGATATACTTTACTCTTGATTTCCCATGCAAACTGGTAATACATTAAAAAATTTTTTAAATTTTTTAAATTTTTTTAAGATTATTCAATTTGAAAGGCAGAGTTAGAGAGAGAGAGAGGAGAAGGAGTTATCTTCCATCTACAGGTTCACTCCCCAAATGGCTGCAACAATGGGGGCTGGGCCAGGTCAAAGCAAGGAGCTTCTTCCTGTCTCCCACATGGTTGCAGGAGCCCAGGGACTTGGGGTATCTTCCACTGCTTTTCCCAGATCATTGGCAGGGAGCTGGATTGGAAGTGGAGCAACCAGGACATGAAATGGCACACATATGGGGGCTGGCATCTCAGGTGTCAGTCCCTAAAAAGTTTATTGTCAGGACCGGTGCTGTGGCATAGTGAGTAAAAAGCTGCCGCCTGCAGTGCCAGCATCCCATATGGGTACCAGTTTGAGACCCGGCTGCTCCACTTCCAATCCAGCTCTCTGCTATGGCCTGGGAAAGCAACAGAAGATGGCCAAGTCCTTGGGCCTCTGCAACTGCATTGGAGACCCGGAGGAAGCTCCTGGCTCCTGCTTTGGATCGGCCCAGCTCCAGCCGTTGAGGCCAACTGAGGAGAGAACCAGTGGATAGAAGACCTGCCTCTCTGCCTCTCTTTCTCCCTCTGTGTAATTCTTTCAAATAAATAAATAAATCTTTTTTTAAAAAAAATTTTTATTGTCATTGAAGCTCAGGCCACATCTCCTCAAAATATGACTACAGTGGACAAGAATATGCCACCCTCCCAAAATACACTTTTTTGGCTTTTGTATTCTTAGTTGTTTTTTCTGGAAGATGGCAGACACAGTAGTAGCTCTAATAAACTGTTCTTTTGCAGGGTAAATATCTATAAAGGAAATCTGTTAGTAACATATTACCTGATTTATCTGCATAACATGACAATCTTTATTTATCATACAATTTCTTCCCTCACCCTCTCACACCTTGTGCTCTCCCCTTGCCCCAGAAACCCCAAGTCCCCATTCTTTTCTATAGATCAGGATGCTATACAAGCATCAATCAACTGACTTCTTCAAGATTCATATTTTGTGGGATTCCCACACATATGTAAGTAATTAAATGGTTTTCTCCTCTTTGTCTTATATAAGTTTTAATTTGTAGAGCAGTTACAGAACCTAGAATAGTGAAGGGATGCCACTTTTCCCTCTTTTCTCAGTTACCTAATTATCAGCATAAAAGAGATAAAATGTAATAGCGATCTTAGGTTTTATATACTTAGAAGGCTATAATATTCAACAATATTTTCAACTAAAAAATGATTTTCAGTACTTTTAAACTAAAAATCAAGTTACTTACATTTAAATGCTTCATTTTTATATGTATAAACTCACATACTCCTTCACTAGCCCTATCAGATAATACAAATCTTTTCTATTACCCACTCTGCAAACTATCAGAAGCTGTCAGAAAAACATGAACAGAAATAGATGCACTGGGCAGACACGGGAGCACAGTGGTTTAAGTCATCACTTGGGACACCTACATGCCGTATCAGAGTGCTGGTTACAGTCCCGGTTACTCTGATTCAGCTTCCTGCTAATTTACCTGGGAAGACTGCAAATGAGGACCAAGCACTCAGAGTTTACCACCTATGTGGAAACCCAGATGGAATTCTGGGCTCCTGGCTTCAGCCTGGCTCAGGATTGGCTGTTATAGACATTTAGGAAGTGATCAGCAGATCTAAGATTTCTCTCTCTCCCCTAACTCTCCCTCCCTGTCTCTCTGTCACTCTGCCTTTCAAAGAAGTAAATCTTTTTTAAAAATTTTAGGGCCAGCACTGTGGCACAGTGGATTAAAACCCTGGCCTGAAGCGGTGGCATCCCATATTGGCGCCGGTCCTAGTCCCAGCTGCTCCACTAGTCCTGGCTGCTCCACTTCAAATCCAGCTCTCTGCTATGGCCTGGGATAGCGTAGAAGATGGCCCAAGTGTTTGGGCCCCTGCACCCACGTGTGAGACCCAGAAGAAGCTCCTGGCTTCAGATCGGTGCAGCTCCAGCCCTGCAGCCATCTGGGGAGTGAACCAGCAGATGGAAGACTTCTCTGTCTCTACCTCTCTCTGTAACTCTT